TTCCGTGGGCTATCTCTCATCTTGGTCACTGACCCTTGCTCTGAGGGCTTAAAAGTGTTAAGAAATCGGTCTTTAAAATATTCAGTAATTCTGAATGATCTTATCCCTTGGCTATCTGAATTAATAAAGTCTGGCTGTATGTGAGAAGGAGCTACACAGAAGGAGGAAGTCAGCTGTTTTCTCTGGTTGCTGGAGTCAGAACAAAAAGCAGCAGATTGGGGTTTCAAAAGGAAAGGTTCACATTCAATTTAATTTCAGGAAGAACTTTCTAAAGATTAGAGCTACTCTTTATCCACCTATTCTTTTATTATATTCCGTGAGCACGGACTATGTGTCAGGTGCTGTGCTGAGCACTGGTGATAGTGAAGGTAGCAGATACCATGTCAGCCTACAATTATTATCAGCTCTGTCAGCATATAATTAATTACCTAGTGTGAAGTAAAGGCAACACAGAATGAGGAATGGGCTGATGGGAATATTGAGGAGATAAATAAAATTCAGTCTGCACCTAGGATGCTCACAGTCTAATAACACTGATTTTAAGAATTAGTGGCATTTTCTAAATAACAGTTATGTACATGCTGGATGCATTGTGCTATGTTATTACACATTTTAATAAACATAGCATGATGTTAAGTTCTCAAAGCACCCCTAATTTTCAGATGAGGAAACTAAAGCCACCTGCTGAGGCACCTGTGCAAAGCAGAAGGGGCTCATTGGCCAGCGAGTGAGGATTTTGTATTATGCACCCTAAGTTCACACTTGAAAAATCCCTGGTGGAAATATTTCTCCAAAAGTTCTTCTCTGCCACCACCCAGGCAGACTCTCACCTTTCTCGGCTGCTCACCCCTCAGCTGCACACCTCCCTCTAGGGCACAAAAACCTCCCTCAAAGTTCTGCTGCCAGACGGTATTCCTAACCCAAGCACTCTCAACAGTCTTCCCCCAAAAAGGAGGGCCTGCAAATTCCTATACCAGCTGCTAAGTGACCAAAAACATATCCCTCTCCTTGGTACTGTATCCAGATGTGAGTAAAGAAGACCCTGAGTCCACTCTGCAAATCAGAGCCCCAACATCTGCTGCTCACATGCCCTGATGGATCCAGGGGCTCTGAGATGCTGAGCTGCAGCACTTAGGGGCCAGTGCCCCTGGGGTAGCTGGTGTTTTCCTCAGGGAGACACGTATTTTCTGCTTGTGCTCTGACTTTACAGGGCTAGGAAGCTCTGCTGTAAGTCATCTCATGCCTGGGCTTGTTGGCGGGAAGGGAGAGAACCTACCTTGAGCGATAGAAAGAAGGCAGATAGGACAATGGGAAGAAGGTGGGAGGGCGGACTGGGGTCAGAAACGTAATTGGTGACCTTGGAAGAATAAAACCTGCTGGTCCATCCAGCAGCCTGACCCTTGAACTCATTAGCAAGGTCCTGTTGGCAGCTGTTTTCTCACAGCCACAAATGTGCAAAACTTGTCAAGATCAAGACTGAGTCAACTCATTCGGGATGCAAGGCTGGCTTGCCCCTTTGAACTTTGTTCCTATCACAGCCATTTAATTATTTTGTGAGTTCTTATAATTCTGAGGGCAAAGCAGGCGTCCAGAGTGCAATCCCTAACACTTTTTCAGGTTCCGATGTTTTTATGAACTAGGAGAAGCTTACAGTGCCTTAAAGAAACTACATAAAGAAGGCATTAGCATTTTTGACATAAGCTCCATTTCCACAGGTTTATGCGCTCTGGAGAAACTCGCTTGAGGATGAGACTTGGCATATAGTGCCCGAGTCCCTGACTGTCCACACCTCATTTCATAGGTACTTACGAAGGAGTCCACATTCACTACATTTGGCATCTGTAAATTTTAGAAATAGAAATGGTTTTAATAGTAGGTGGTTTCTGAATTTAATGTCAGTGCACACAATTCTCAGAGAACCAGAGACGTCAGGAATACCAAAAGTCCTGGTTTATAGATTCTGGTGGGACAAGAATATGAAGGGAAAGGAAAATAATTTAAAGGGACAGATGCCAGAAAAGGTTGGTGTTCTCAGAAGGGCACCCGACGTAGACTGACATCATCATTTCTCCTATCCCAGGCCCTCCTTGCCCTATTTCCTGCCTGTGTCATAGGCCGGGCCATGGACTTTGGTCAGAAAATCACTGAAAAGGCCGCCAAGAATCTCATGTTGCTTTTTGTATCTCTATTTGAGGAGACTGCATTAAATGCTCTCTCAGCCATAAAATGCCTGATGGGGAGAGAGTTCTTAGACAAAGCCAGAAAAGCATTACCCTAGAGGTGAAAGAATTCCAGGAAAAGCCGGCACGGATCTCTGCAGAGGAAACTTAATGGGCAGCTGTGGTTCTCAGGGATGGATCAGTCAGGATGTGTAGGCCTCCTGCTCCTGGCAGCAACGACCCAGATCCTGGGAATGTGGACAGTGGACCTCAGCTTCAGGATGGGGAGCATGGATCCAGGGGCCAGCCCCAGTTTCAGAGGAGAAGCTGGGCGCCTTGCCCAGGAGTGGGGCCATTCTGTGAGCCTTCCTCTCACGAGGCTGCCTCAGTGGCTGTTCACTCAGTGGACCCCACTTCTGGATTTATCTGTGCTTTGGGGGGTGGGGGAGGGGAATCAGTATAGCTTCATGGTTAAGCACATGGCCAAGTCCCAGAGCCTTATTTATAGCAGATAGCCTTGGGCAAGTTAACCTTTTGAGCCATGGTTCCTCATTTGTGAATGGCGGTAATAGCTCTTACTTTTAGGGTTGTGAAGATGAAAAGATGATACAAAGAAAACGGGGAACTCCTGGTAGCTGTAATAAGTAGCCAGATTTGATGATCTGTCTTCACTAAAGAAAGAGAGTCTCCAGCATCCTCCATGCTGAGCACTCTTTGATTCGAGGGTAGACAATCCCAAAGATGCTGGGAGTAAATTATTCTGGCAGGCAGTCTGGGCATCCAGGGACTAAGACCTGAGCTGTTATAGCCCATGAATCTTTGGTTCCCATCTGAGAAAGATCCATTTCTATGTGAAACTAGAATAGTCCAGACATTTAGAATTGCCGGAGTACAACATGTTATGTGCTAAATCTGAGCATTGTATATCTAGGCTAAAGTAAAGGACACTGAATTCTGAACAGCAGGGTCTTTCTTTTCAAACTCCTCTGGTAACACTTCCCCATGCAAACAGTCCATCCTTTCTCCAAAAGGCCATTCTGTGACAGTGAAGTCTCCTTAACTGAGGGAGGAGAAAATGAATGGAGAGATAATGAATCATCTCTAAAGCTGGTTGAGAGTAAAGCTGGCCAGTTGGAGGCCCTGAAGTGAGGGCGTCTCAAACTTAGCCCTTGTGATCCTGCGGGAGTCTCAGACCATGGCCCTGTGATTCAGGGCTCTGCAGTCCATGGCCAGCCTCAGGTGTGACAGTGTATGAGATAGCCAAATGGCACCACACTGGAGAAAGGCTAGCTGCATCTTCCTACAAATATCCCTGTGGAGACTGAAGACTCTTTTCTGACATGGACCTCATCATTCTAGGGCTTCCAAAATCAAGCACCAAACCTACTAGAATCTATAAATGCCAACTCTTTACTTTGTTAGGACACTGGCAGAATTCTACTCAGAGCAGAGGTTTTGGGTGGGGAATGGGCAGATTCTGGAGTTCAGATACTAATTGCTGAGCATCAAATGAGATTATATGAGAAAGGTAGTGAAAGATAAGCTATTTACCTATCAGAGATATGCTAATAAATATACTAAGAATTTTGTATATAACATTCATTTTTTTCATTCTTTCATTTCTGCTAGATAGCATTCTGAGTTCAAGAAATTCGATGGTGAACACATTTTTGTTCTCACAGCAGCCTGATAAGGAACCTGATACCTGAGAGGTTCCGTATCTCCTGTAGGGGTTCACACAGTTATAGGTAGAGACCACACCCCAAGCCACTGCTCCACAAAGCACCACAGAAATGCTAGCTGTTGAGCCTCTTGACATGAAGATTACATTGTATTCTGTGATATTCCCTACCGTGCTGAACACAACGCTGCGTTGTGCCTCTTCCCAGTCCTAAACGTGTAAGATGCTGACATAAACTTTACTAAGGATGTTTCATTCTAAGCTTATCCTATAAACAGGAAGCCTGTGGGGTGATAACCAGATCTTGGAAGCTGTCTCGTTAGGTTGGATAATCCACACCACCATTTTAGAAATTAAATATGTAATAATTTTTTCAGATAATGTATTTGTGAAGATGAGATATAATTAGCAGAATATGTCACCCATCTATGATGAAATCAACTTAATTTGTTTTAGGGAAGAGTGGGGCCCCTGGGAATGACAAGACATCACAGAAGGTACTGGTGAGTTTGTCAGGGCATACAGTGTGAGTGAAAGACAGAAAGCGGTTCTGTGGTCTTCTCAGTCCGACTACAAATGGCATTGGGTCCAGTGAAGTCCACATGGTAAGTGATGTTACCACGGTAACTCCAGGATGACCTTATAGCCTGTGAATCACTCGTCCTCACAGTCAGATTGAGAGGCCACAGACTCAGTTAACTGCCGAATGGATGATGAACCATGCAAGGGGGATGCACAGTGACCTTTGTTGGGACATCAGTTTGTTATGTATGCTCATTACTCTTATTTCAGTTAATACATTCCACTTGGTTGGTTGGTTGAAGTCATATGATCCCCAATTGAAAGAAGGGTGATCAAAAATAATTTTTATGTCTCTAACAACTGTTCTTTTCCTATTATAACTCTAGAGAACCATCAGGGTATATGCGCATGTGACTCTTGCTGCCAGTAAAGGCGGCCTTCTTACCTCTTGTTATGTGAAGGGAATATGTTCATGTTCAATTAAATGTCTGTTTCATGCCACTCCCTGAAAATTTACTTCACCAGGAATAGTGCTTCCTCCTTCTAGGGGTCACCTTTCCTCCAGACCACACCCAATGCCAGGACCCTTTCTCCTTTATGGGAGCCACCTCTAACCCTCACTCTGTTACTCTGTCCAGAGTCCAACTGCCAGATGAGGACCCTCGACAGTGGGATCGGCACCTTCCCACTCCCAGACTCGGGGACTCGCTCAGCCGGACGGTACATATGCCAGGCAGACCCCTCAGGGGACACCGAGCCCGACCTGTGCCTCCAGCCAGTCCTTTGTGCAGCCCCTTCCATCCGAGCCCAGACCCTTGAACGAGAAGTGCCTTCCTCCGCCGACAGCCAGGAGTTTGCAGACAATGCCATTGTTCACTCCATGTCCGACCCCACCATGACTGCCAGGGGGACGCGGCCTCCGCAAAGTCGCCTCCCCAAACCAGCCGCCTCAGGTAAAGTGCCTATTACCTTCCAAATTAGACTGTTTTCCCACCCAAATCATGCACTTGCTGACAAAATGGAAAACATGCCGCAGAAAAAGTTTCCGCTAGGAAGTCAGTGAGTGACCTCTGCCCGGTGGACATGTGGTCCCATGAAAAGCCCTGCATGTCCTCCACCAAAAAGTAAGACAAGCATTAAACATGACCTGCTCTTAGCATTATGTGAAGGAGTTGTACATACATATAAAGGAGGCAAGCATGTAAGCACAGGGATATGGATATGTAAATTGATTAAGAAAAAACACACGCAACATACGCATGGGCTTTTATCTTTTAAAACTTAACTCTGATTATAGATAATTTAAACTCGACATAAATTTAACTGAAATGCTGTTTGCCCTCTAACCAGAAACTGTCTTCTGATATAATCCTATCCTGTTCAAATATGTGTATATGCTGAACTATAAAATCTTAGTTGGATGCATCAGCAGTAGATTCACTGCAGTAGAGCGGTGTGAGCCTTCCCATGAAGAAGTACCATCTTTGGCTGCCGTCATTTGAAACAGTCTTTCATGATTAAAGATAGGACCAGGCTAAGGGTCAAAGTTTTTTTATTGGCCCCTCAAGATTAAAAATATTTATTGTAGCTCAAGGTGACACTGCCCAATTTTTAACTTGTATGGATCATGTTGTACTTGTGACATGCATAAGCATATGAAATAGAACTCTGAAGACTTACCTTTATTATTTGATGCTGAGAAAGGAACCACAAGTAGAGATTATATTAGAGGCTCCTGAAAAATTAGAAAAGAAGACTTTTAATTAAACATCTTTGAATCGATGTGATTGAGCTATTCCCATGGCTGGGTCCTTCCTTCTCATTGTAATACTAACTGCCATGAATGTTTCATTGCAAACTTCTGCTTATTTCAAGCCAAGGCTACATTTTAAAAAGCCGGAATGCATATTATTTTTGAAATACATGCATTGTTAATTAATGACACCGCCTCCAGAGACTCAGGGGCGAAATCTTAGTTATAGATTGTGCTCCATGCCTGAATAGTCACATGTGTGACCTCAATTCAGCAGCCGGCTGCTGAGTAGACGCCATGATTAAACACTGTCATTATAACAAATTGAATAGAAACTGCAAGCCTTGAATTGCTTCATAAGAAGGGGATAGGAAAGAGATTGTTCTGATCTTGCTGCAGGTATTCACTGCACCAGTTTCCTAAGGTTTGTGTCTTAATTAAATTGTCATGAAGAGTTGTAAAAAAGTAGTATATGGTCAAGAGCGAGGTCGACATGGGGAGGGAGACTTTGGTGTTGCGCACCCTGGAGCTTCCTGTCCGCCAATTGATATTGTCAGCGTGGTTCTGAGGCCAGTTTTCCAAGGGCTCTCTTTTGTCTGTGGCCATTGGTTACTCATTTTAAAAATTAAGGAATGAAGAACCAGCTGCAATGAAAGGCGAGTGGTTTAGGGCAATCACTCCTTCCTTAATGCATGCATTTGAATTGGTTTTTCTCTTATCTCCATGTCAAAAATGGAAGTAACTATACAAATCTCACAGTGCTGATGGAAATACAATTACTTTGCTTCTGCTCACAAGCAAAACACTGTTGAGAGGCTAGGCCAGCCTGTCCCGTTGATAACCACTGAGGCCGGAGGATCACTGCAACCTCCCCTTCCTGGCATGAGAAGGAATGCACTCTGCAGGTTGATCTACTCTGATGGGAAATAGAGGCCTTCCTTTCTTCCATCTCTGCTAAGTACATCCTCGATCCTCAAAATGGGATCCATGGCCAACATCAGCAGCAGCATCCGGGAACTTGTCAGAGATGCAGAATCTCAGGCCCCGCCCCAAACCTACTGAATCACAATCTGCAGTTTAATTAACAAGAGCTCAGTGGATGCACGAGCAAATCGAAGCTTGAGGAGTCCGGCCCTGCAGGATTTTTAAGGGCCTTTGAGCAAGGTTGCCCAAACCACATCATTTAAAATGACCTTCACAGGTATTCTAGGAAAATCAGGGTTCCCTGCTCACATATGTTTGGGAAAGGCTATTTATTTAAATCTCCCTTTGGAAGTTATGACTGTACCCATTAGCACAATGAAGGCTCTGAGAAGCGCTCCAAAAAGGGAACCTGTTAGACGTTTGATGAAAAACACTATTTGATAAATAACCACTGTTTTCCAGTTTGCCCCTGAGCCCTTTCTTAACATGCAGAGCTTATCAGCATTTCATGGCAAAGTGGTCCCAGGACAGCTTGCCTTTGGTCTCCAAGGTGGACATTCTCTGTGAACGTGCAGAACTATGCAGACGTATCTGTTAGGATGGACTTGCAGGGGGCAGAATGCTGGAAAGTTCAGCTTCCACCACATTGGGACCTTTCTTATTATTTCTGAATATCTCCCCCCTCCCCCTCCCTACATTTCCATAGAGTTGAAGGAAGCTGACTGTAGTTTCATATACATTTCCTCATTTAGGAAAAATCCATTCCCAAAAGCAGAATGACGCCGAGCCACGGCCTCAGACCTGCTCGTCAGTATGTGCTGAGAACACACTGGCCAGGGAGCTGCTTCCAGACTGGCGGGGTGAAGACCCCCCTGCGGACACCCAGGTGAGGGAGGCCAACAGGCGGGCAGCCTCCACCCGTTGGTCCTGATTGTGAAGAGTGAACTCCTGAAACACTTTGGTGAAGAGTTGATTTTAAGTCAGATTTGTTGTTGGTTCAGTGAGTAAAAACATAGGCCAAGGCTCCCTTTCCCCCCTGAATTGTTAAGTAACACCACGGGCTCTCGGGCAGGATCCGAAGTGCTTTCACCCATCTGCACTCAGATGCTTGAGGGATGGTGGCTGTTCCTGACCAGACGTGGCGGAGCAGGCATTGCTCTCCCAGGCTTAGGAGCACCACTTAGAATGATTGGATGGATGGTATTTTCCCATTGTCTCCTCAGTTCCTCCAACCTTTACCTTGTTCCTATGAGACAGGTAAAGCAGGTTTGATTAGACTCCTTTTAGGGATGAATAAACTGAGGCCTGGGAGTGGTCATGGTCGAAAGATTTGCCAGGGACAGTGAGACCTGCATTTCTTTAATCTCTATCATTTGTGCTGTGGGTTCTTCATCACCCTGAGATGGCACATAGAGGCCTAGGGAGGGGCTCATGGCTCAGGGACTCCTCGAGCCTCCCTCTGGGTACTTGGTATCCCCTCCCATTTACCAGTTTTGGCTAATTGCTTGGACCACATCCAACCTGCCCACTATTTCTCAGCTTGCCCTGGGCCTGGCCCACTTCAGGGTCTTTGGTGGCACCCAGCAGTGAAGGGTGGGTGGAAGGACATAAGGACCAATTACCAGACCTCCTGGCCCTTCCAGGACCTTCCTGCTCTGTTGCCTTTGGCTCTCCAAGCCCCTCATTAAAACCCTAAAAGAGACCCAGAGTTGGATGGGGAAGTAGTTTAGCAACAACAGGTGGTAATAGTGGCAAAGAAGTTCGGGAAATTCCAAGAAAGAGAGAATTGTTTAGTGCTGCCCTCCCCCACATGTGCTGGCAGGAATTCCTCACCCAACATTCCTGTCCCCCAAACACATATCTCTCAGGGGTCCCCTTCCTCCTCATCTCCCACCATCTCTGCCCATCGGAAATCCTGCCTGTCTTGTAAGAGTCACCACCACGACTTTGAACTCAGAACTCTGGTTCATTGACTGCCAGGGAGGAAAAGTTTGAAGCAAGAGTTAGCTTTGTATTTCCAGCTCCCAGCACAGCACCAGAGCTGTAGTCAGGCCGGCGCTAAGGAAGCCTCTGACCAGAGGGATGAAAACATGCATCTCTCCATACCCAGAAAGTGTTCCTGGGGTCCTTCAGGAACGCTAGCCATGAGGCTCCCCTGGAACCACTATCTGTAGACTTGTCATCCTTAATAGACATCATCCTTGCTATTGAAATCTCTGTACTGAGCTCTGTGCCCCCAGAACCTAGCACACGGCTTGGCATAGGGTAGCTACTCGATAAGCACCTGTTAAGTGGGTAGATGAATGAGTGAATGAATAAGAGAATAAAGGGAGGAATGAGCACTTGAATTTATAACCTCGGCTGAAAGAGCTCACATCCTAAAATGTGTTTTTGTAATTTCCAAACAAGTGACACTCCCAGATGGACTTGGGAGACCCATCCCATACATGTGCCTGGAAGATGGGGAATCATGGGCTCTGACAGGGCGGAGGACCAACACCCTGAGTCCCCCCAGGAGCTGCAGTCCTAGACCCGGTATTCTGCTTGTGTGCATGGAGGGGAAATGTTTATACAGTACCCACTCCCCCACAGTTCCTGAATGTGCTGATCACAGCACCGTGACACCTGGGGGGCCAGGCTGTGTGTGTGTGTGTGTGTGTGTGTGTGTGTGTGTGAGAGCAAAGGGGAGACTGAGTCCCTGAGCCTGACCTCTGTTAGTACCTCTGAGGGTTATACAGGGTCAGCAATTGCGTGCTTTCCTAAAGGCTCCTGTCCTTCCAGAGGCTGGGAGAAATATTCCAAACTGTGCAAACATTTATTCTTTTGTTCCCAAAGTTGATCCTTTTCATACCCTCTGATACTTGAAAGCCTGTAATGAGATCAGTTAAATAAATAAGCCATTAGGTTTGGAACAGCGACTCTAAGAGGCACTTTAGAAAATAGGACCCATAAAGCAGTGTACCCAATGTAGAGCAGTTGGTGCGGGGACTTGCGGTGCCTGGGACAGTGCTGTATGGTCAGAGGCTTCGTTAGCGCCGGCCTGACTACAGCTCCGGTGATTGACAGACTGGCAAGCCCAGTCACTCCTGGGGGCAGGGGCATTGGGAAGGGCATTCTGTGCACCAGCAACAGCCAGGTGTGAACTGTTTCACATCCTCACAGGGTTTCCTCACAGGAAATCCAGCTGTCAGCACTGGATTTGTGTGAATCATCTGAACAGTCTCATGTTACTCATTTAGGACAAGGGACCCAGAAAGTGCTCGTACTCTGCAAACAGTGGCAGTGATAGTGAGAGTGACCGGGCTGTGGGAATCATGGTTTTGGAGCTGGAAGGGGCAAGTTAGTGAAAGCAGTGCAGAGCGCCACCCCAGGTAACACAGGCGAGCGCAGGGACACTGGGGCTCCTCTGTCTGGGAAGCCACCGAAGTGCTTTCCCTGTGCTCTGCCTCCTCCCCTCCCCGAGATTTCACATCTCAGCTCATCTCTCCTGAGATCTAATTTTCTGGCACGTACAGAAGAGTGTCTGTGAACATCAATTTGTTTTCTGGAATAATCTTCATGACATTGCAGTGCAGTAAGGATTTTATTTCCAAATCTGGCATCTCCCAAAAAGTCTCCAGTTGAGTTCTCTCGGTAATGCAGGGATGGCTATAAAGATAAGTTTGTTCTTAATCACATACTTTGGCCAGTCCAATCGCCCAGTGAGCCTGGAGGGAATCGCAGGCTGGACCTGCAGCCACGCCATTGTGAGCAGGTCTGTTTATGAGCGTGAAATGCCCTCACACCATTCCTGTTGGAAGCAGAATTGGCAGCAGAAAAGTCATCATCCCGAGGCACTTAAAAATATGTGTGTTCAGATGGCATTTCCGTACACACAGAAGGACAGATGCACCCCAACACAAAATGTGGTCTGGGCTCTGCCTTTCTTCTAATCTATTCTGGATTGTCAGGAATCCTATACGATAAAAGACTAATATGCAAATTGATCAAATGGCGGAACCACCTGTCACTATGATGAGCACTGATCACCAGGGGGCAGACGCTCAATGCAGGAGCTGCCCCTGTTGGTCAGTGCACTTTCACAGGGAGAGCGCTGCTCAGCCAGAAGCCCTGAGCCGGGCTTATGGCTGGCAAGTGCAGCAGTAGTGGCAGGAACCTCTCTCGCCACCACAACAGTGCTAAGGATGTCCGACTGCCGGCTTAGGCCTGCTCCCTGGGCCTAACCTGTCAGGCGGACATCCCCCGAGGGCTCCCGGACTGCAAGAGGGCACAGGCCGCGCTGAGGGACTCCCCACCCCAGCCCCCGGAGTGCACAAATTTCATGCACAGGGCCTCTAGTATTTTAATAATGCACTAAAGCAGCATTCTTTTCACATTAATCAACTTTTTTCTCCAATACTAATTTAGCGATGATATGATAAAACCATGACTTTTTTCTTAAACAAGACTGATGTTACTTTAGGGGAAAACGTGATCTAGCAACCATGCGTGTTTCCAGTTTCCCAAGAGCCTTGGTGTTTGTGACGTGTCAGGGTAGGAATGGCGTATGTGAATAGCCATTACCTGGGGCCTCTACTCTGCTCCTCGCTCCCTGCCAGCCCTCAAGAGGCAGGACCAGGCTGCATCCTGCCAGGGCTCACCAGGAAGAAATTGGCAACCACCACCTGCATTAGAGCAGCGGTTCTCAACCTGTGGGTCGCGACCCCTTTGGCGGTCAAACGACCCTTTCACAGGGGTCGCCTAAGACCATCCTGCATATCAGATATTTACATTATGATTCATAACAGTAGCAACATTACAGTTATGAAGTAGCAACGAAAATAATTTTATGCTTGGGTCACAACATGAGGAACTGTATTTAAAGGGCCAGAAGGTTGAGAACCACTGCATTAGAGTTTGGTTGTTGTCCCCATTAGGTCTCTGTGGTTTGTCAGTATCTCTCTGGTTGTGACAGACAAAAGGGAAGGGCAGTTCATTGTTGTGAGGCCTGCCCAGTGAAGATGCCTAGGGCCAGGCCAGCTCCTAGTCCAAGCTCTTCCCTGGAACCTCTCGTGAGTCCAGTGAATAACACCCCCTCCCTGACCCTCAACTGCTCCATCCAAGAATGCTGTCCAGGGCCCGTTCCAGCTCTAAAACGCCACTCAGTTAGGCCCGGGCTCCAGCATGAGTAACTAGACAAAGACTCCTGTCATACACTAAAACATACATGTAATAAACTAGGAAATGCATCCAGTGTGATGAAAGGAGATAAGGGCTTTGGACAAAATGAGGAAAGCAAGGTGGTATGGTAGAGCAGGACGCTGGGAGGGCGCCGGGAGGGGCAGTGTTAAAGTGGAGCAGTCCCACAACCTCACTGAGGAGGTGATGTTCCCGTAGAGGTCAAGGGGGAGAGGGAGGACCCAGGAGGATCTCGAGGAGGAGCATTCTGGGCAGAAGGCACAGCCAGGGCAGAAGCCTTGAGAAGGAGCAGCAGGCAGCAGCGCAGCTGTGGGAGAGCAACCTGCAAGGCTGGGAGGTCAGACAGGCGAAGGGGCCGGGGCGGAGAAGGCCTTGATCGCCAGCCCGAGGACTTTGCTTCCTCTCTGAGAGACACCTGTGGGGGCCTTTGGACAGCTCTGAGAGCCATGTTATAAAAGGATGACTCTGGCTGTCGTGTTGTAAAACCTGAAGAAGCAAGATCCACTAAGAGGCTATTACATCACCCAGGCAAGAGCTGTCCGCGGCTGGGCTGTGGTCACAGTGAGGGGCTGGCAGCCCTGGCTGAGAGAGCCCTCCTCGGTGATGGCAGTGCCCAGCCACCAGCCAGGGCCCATAAGACCTGAATGTGGCTGGTACGAGTAAGGAACTGAATTTTTAAATGTAACTTTTGCTGTAACTTTTCTAAGA